TACCTTACTTTTCCCATCGGCGTAGAGTACAGGGATAGATATTGGAGAGCAATCTGCTGTCGATTTGGCGGGTCTTCACTAGACTCGCTAAATCGACCGCCAGTGGATCGATCTCAGAGCGTCAATCCGGGCTGTAGTGTAGACCTGCCCTTCAATGCCTAATTCTGATGGATAAGCCAGAATTGCATTAATGACATATATTGCCTTCCATTCAAGACTATACTCTCACTTTCCAATAGTCAGAAATAATACATAGTCAATGCTGATAACCACAGATGATCTCTACTGAGAATTCCTCGGTTCACCCCAGGGACTAATAAGGAGTGGGGCTCATACCTAGGCATTATGGATTTCAAAAAATAACATTAAAAAAGCAAGGAAGGAGAAATCTGATTCAAGGAGCTGACAACTGACAACCAACCATCCACGAGACTACAAATTATCTGCTTCTGATTTTTAGTTGATTTTTTAAATTAAAACGGTTTTTGATTTAGAGTTTTATTTTCTTAACAGAACAGGTTGCTATTTCCTCTCCCCCCCCATTTTGGGAAGTTTTTCTTTCCTTCCCCTTCCAGCTTTTTTACTAATCAGACCCGAATTCCAAAGTTTTGCCCCAAATCCCTCCTCAGTACCTAGTAGGAAGCTTGTACCTGAGACCTCTCTATGAACCCGATGCCTGTCAGACACGTATGAAGAGAAGAACAAACTACATGAAACTTTCCCCCTGTAATTGGCTGTAGTCTCAGCACTCCATTTAAAGTATGCAACGTTGGTAAGTACCTTGCCAGAAAGAAAATGTTTAGTGCCACAACCATTTGGACATCAGTGCTGAGGATATGTTCCGTATTTCACTAGCCACCAAAGTTATATTTGTACCAAATGCTAGAATATTAATTCCACATGGTCCATAGGAAAAGTATTTCGTTTTATTATGCTGACTAAATTGAATCCTGCAGTGTACTCACACCATTCCTAATCACTGGTTTGTCCATTCTGTTAAACTGATGCCTGGCCAATACCTATTTTAAACTACACCATCAAGCCAAGACTGCATATTTTTAGAGAAGAAAAGAGCACAGAGATGTTGCTAACTGGGTTTTCTAAAACATTTAAAAATAATTTTCAAGTGTCACTGATTAGTCAAATGATACATGCCAGATACTTATTTAACCTCCTCAATTCCTGATCTTGTCTGATGAACATCTTAAGAATCCCTGTTAACATTTATTTGATAATCCTCAGCAGACAGCACTCCCCAGGCATAGCCAAGCAAGTCACAGAACTATGGGAGCTACCAAGAGTCAGACCCATAATAAGGCCCCATTCAGCTGGGTCTCTATCAACGTCATAGAAGATAATTAACTATGGGGCCCTAATGAATTCCCAACCCACAACCTTTGCATTCTAACTTTTGCAATAGGGCAATGATCCTTCATCTTCAAAGCCTACTTAGTAACAAAGGAAAAGAATGGAGAATGAGAAAGTAGGTAAAACCAAATTAGGGCAAGAGAAGAAATAGAGAGCAGGGAGACTGTAACACGGCCCTTACATGTTACAGACTAATTCATTGCAGGACAGATGATTGGAAAGAGCTCAGATGGAGAGGGACAAAAATGTGAATAATTAGCAGGCCAGAGTATGTGTGCACAAACTGGAGGATCCTGGTTAATTGCTTGGCTTTAGTATTTGTTACAAATAACAACAAAATAACCACAAAATAAATTAACAATTGCATTTTTATATCTGACAATTTGTCAATCCCTCACTGGATTTACTATTCGCTTTTAATGAAGAATTTTACAGAATTGAGGCTGGAGTCCCATGGTAATATCCTGAACTTGAGATAACCTGTTGAAGTAAATTAAATCTATATTTCTTTGGAAAGAATTAGGGGGGCAGGTAGAGAGTGAATTTTTAGTGCTAAATGAGAGACTGACAACGTATAAGCTTTGCAAACCTCTTCAGTAGAGCCCTAAAAACACATTTCAATCCTGATATGAAACATGCCTGCTATTCCAGTCCTGCGTCCCTCCGTAGCAGAAAATGCCAATCATACCAAAGTAAGGCTGATTGAATAATATGAAAAAATGCACAAAATCTGCACAGCTGAGATCCAATAATTTATTTCACTTCTGATCCTAACCTTCAGATTTAAACAGAGGCCTTCAGGAGACACGCTTCTGTACCATCTAGATCAGTCTCCCCTACACAAACTGAATTCTTAGCTGTAATTTGATTTTGTTAAAGTGCCTGTTAGGAAATTAGTTGGCTTGCAGACTCCTTTCTCTTCAAAGAGAATAAGAACTCCTTCTGAGCTATGCTGGCAGTAAGCACCCACAGTTCATTATTAGTATTAAGCTGTGTGGTGTACTTGCCAGTTTCCATTTTAGGACCAGCAGCTGGAACACACAGATATCTTGCTGTCCAATACAAAGCCCATACAGTACTAAGCCACATAGCAAGAGTATTGCAACTATCTAGAGAGCAACGCCCGGACACGAGTGACTTTAAACTTATTAGAATTGAAACGTAGATCTGAGGAACCCAGTACTGTCAACTGTCTTCTCCTTCTATCCTATGTTAAACAGCAGCATGCAAACGTGGGTATATTAAATGCTTGAGAATCTTGATCCTATCTTCCTTTTATTCCATTTAGATTGCAAGCTTTTCAGAGAATCCTACTATTTTTCTGTAAAGAGCCTAGCATACATTTAGCAGGATATAAATATCTATTTTTTATTGAGCACCTCCTTGGAGATGGCTGAACTATTTTTATCAAGTTTTCAGAAAACTCAGTGAAGTATGGAAAACTTCAGCCCAAAAGGTTAACGTGTAGAACAGCTACAAGCAAGTGGAAACAGGGGATTATAACGGAAAGTGTTAGGCACTACTGCACTGCCTATATTAATAACAGCAGCAGTGCTTTAGCACTCTAATGCAAGAGTTGTAGCACTCAGGAATTCGCCATCCAATCCGCTGTCCCCAAAATATTTCCTATTGAGGACAAGAAGAATGTTTTACATAGTAAATTACCACTGACTTCCCCTTTTCTGGGAAGGGAACAGGATGAAAACACTGGAGAATGTTTTAATATCCAGTACTTAGTTCTACAATAGACTTCTACTTTAGGGTACCTTGCAACTATTATCTTGCAGGTTAAGCTATATTAACCTAAACTAGCCTTAAATTCCCCTGGCTCACAGCAGAAAAATGAAAAGTGCACTCAGTATTCTGTTTAAAACCTGCCACTTGTACAAAATATTTTCCCTGCTCTGAGCCTTTAGTATTAAGCTGGGGAAGGAATGCAATTCCCGTTTTCAAACAGGTGGGTTTAACGTGGGAAGTGTCCCTTGTTTAATGTCTACCCACTGAACCTCTCCATGAAAAATTAAATTTTGGGCATGAGGGGGATTGGTGGGTTAAACAATAGTCCTAATTCTTGGCCCTCAGATTGGAAGCCACTACTTGCTCCACTAAAGACTGGGAACCATCTCTTCAAATCTCCAAGACGTGATGTACTAAGCCTGAGCCCAAGTTTAGGGTTTCCAATTGGCACAACAGCTCAAAGACCTGGTCACTACAACAGGCCAGTTCTATGCAGTTTCAGGGAAACATTTGGAACTTTTTAACACTCAGAAAATATCACATATCCTGTAAAAAGAAGAGACTTCCAAATAGTGGTATTATCTATAGTTCTTTCCCTCCCTCCCCTTTGTTAAGATAGTGTGTCACTACAACAAGAACCAGAACCAGACATAAAATATGAAACACTGCTGCTATTCCCATGCAGGCTTAACCAAAAAAGAAAAACTATATGGTGCTGCATGTTTTTTTTAAAGTGTGTCTGGAAAACAATTTGATTCTGTTCCTACAATAAAGTTTAATGTTTTGGATGCAATCACTGCAAATTATGAAGGCTTGGAAAGCTGCTCAGTTAGAACATATGGAAATTCTGTCTGTCAAAGTTTGCTTTCTTCGCTTACTGCCTGCCAATACATTTTTATAACTGTATCACCAGCCAATATGATTTCATTACAAACCGTGATCCAAGACGACACAAAATCACTTTTCTCTTTCAGTCAAGGGTTGTGTATTTTGTACAAATCCCCATCAGAATTAAAACCGGCCAAGCTTGCAGTGCCATTGGATTGCTACATTAGAAATCAGTCTAGCATGGACTGATGGACACATTCCAGACTGCCTTACTTGGTCAGCTCCTCAAGGTAAAAATAAGCACATCACCCAGAGAAGAGGAGAGCCTTACGGACTCTTAACAAGCACTTGCAGACACGCAAACCAACAGCAGGAAGCTGTCCCACAGAACTGGAACACAACTCAAGACTCAAGCATCTTTTCAGTGTATGCTCAGTCAGATACTGTAGTTACCAAAAAACCCCAAACAAACAAACCCCCAAACCCAAACCTTTAACCATGATGCATCTTTTGCAAGCAGTAACTGCTGAAATACAAACAAACCAAAGTCCAATAAAAGGAAAAATTAGGGTGCAACAGGCTGTAATGTTGAACACGTACGTAAAACCTGCCAGCATACAATTCTGTATACAGCAAACTAAACAGACATCAAAGTTTGACACATTTGCTTTCTAAGCAAACATCACAGCAAGAGCAACCCAGAAAGAGTACTTTAACAGCACTCCATGTTGCTCCCTTTGCAGTGTTCCTCACAGAAACATGGCTCAGACACTGGCTAACTACCACCATCTAATGCGATCAGTACTTGAGTCGATTGCTACACCTTCTCAAGTTTTCTTTCCCTTCTTATTTGACAATGCTAGGAAGAAACACACTGCAAGACAAGAGGCTACCTCATCTTTCAGTAGCGAGGCAGCACTTCATGTATATAATATGGGAAACTTTACATGAATCAGATGTTTCCACCAAAATAATAGACAACTGCAGGAAGCACCATATAAAGTCATATCCTTGTGGCCACTACCTATGGCATGTGGCTGCACAAAAGTCCTTCAGCTGGTCCTTACCTCTTAGGTCTTGTTGTATGCGGGCACCTGCCAGGCTCTGCCGAGGCATTCGGAGGGATGTACGTAGGGGAGTATGTCTCTGCTCATCCAGGTAAGCTAGATCCTCTAAGTGGGCTGAGCTGGTGGCTGCCAAGGGAAAGCAAACAACTGTCAGACCTGTCTCCAAGTCCTGGTATTTTTATTCATCTAGTATTCTTTTTCACACGAAACACTCATACATTTATAACTATATTAAATCAACACAACTGAGATGAAGTAAGTCTGCATGTGATATGATAGATTATGACTTTCGACCTTGAAGGGTCATAAATCCTATGGTGGACAAAAATGCAAATGTGAAATATTATTTGAGAAGCTGTATTCATATTGCTAAGGCCTATAAGAACAATGTATGTTTCCTTCCAGCTCTTTGGTTTCTTAAAGGTAGAAATTACTAGAAATTTGCATAGATCATGCATGAAATGAAAGTTTTGAAAACATAGGGCACAGTAATTTCACACAACTAGGAATAATGAGGTGTTTTGGTAACACTTCTCTCATGCCCCCAAGACATTTGTACTGGTTTGGTTTCCTGCTGATGCTCAGAAATGACAAGACAAATAGAAATGGAGGTGCTTATAGCTGCCCAGACTTTCCTATTGAAAGGATTATTTAATTGCTTGTGCAAAAAGTTTAACAGATAAAGTCAAAGACTCCAGCTATATAACTGGGAATTTAACAATGCATTTTAAGTGAATGTCAACAAATCTCTTTTTCAATTATTTTAGATCTGCCTAATTTGGACATTAACATCCATCTATTCAGACTGTTAGAACTGCTGATAGAAAATTTAAACCTACAGGCGAAAAGGGACTTGCACAGATGATAAAGAGAAGTACATCTCAGTTCTAAAGAAGACAGCTTTACTATACCAACATTATTTGTTCATGGTAGAACTTCATTTGCCTTATAACAATAGATTAAATATGAGTAATTTATTGCACTCACTTGAAGGCAACTCCACTGTGTGTATATATGTGGGTGCAATGACAGCTGCTAGAAAATGTATCCCTTACCTTGTGGAAAGTGACATATAATGCAGCACAGATCATTTTATTTTTCCAATCTCAAATTAAGAACTAAAATAGACTGACACACCACCAGCTGGGAATACACCTCCAGGTGGTTGGGCTACTTCTGCAAGTACTCAGATATAAGCGAAACTTCCATGATGCATCATATTAAATACACTGAAGCAATAAACTGTTTAAAGAGTACTTTCGTCCTGATATGAAAATATTTATTTTTAGATAAGATGGCCTCCTGCACTATCATGCTTACAGTTGGCATTTTTTATCAAAATTGTGACATGTACAATGGTTATTTCAATGGTCAGTTTTTTAAGTGACCTTCTTCTTCTTCTTCTTTTTTTTTTTAATTAAGACACCCATTGGTTGAAAAGATTTATAGAAAGGAGTTTTGTTATCAGGGAAGAAGGGAAGCAGGCTCCCACTCCAACTGGACTGTAAATGAGCAACACACTGCAATTTTTTCAAAGCGAGACAAGAGATTCGGTTAGCCAAGAGTTTAGAGCAGATCAGGAAGGAAAGAGAGCAACCAACATACTTTTAAAAATATAAACTTCACTGAGATTTTGTATTCATAATGAACAGGGCACCCAAGAATGGAGTTGGGGGAAGGACAGAAAACCAGAGAGGCAGGGGGAGAACCAGTAGACAGTCCCATCAGTAAACATTCACACATATAAATCTGGAATAAACAACTCCCAGTTTTCACTGAAGGGAAACAACCAGACTTCTTATTCTCAGCAAGACTGCATAAATCAGTACATGAAAGAGTATTTGTGTATACAAGGAAAGCTGACAATGGGAAGACTGGGGCAAAAGAGAGGTTGTTAAAAATTATAACATCTTAAGAAAAGGATGAATGAGAACTGGCTTATCAGTCATCAGGTATTCAGATCACATTTTAATATGCCTTTGTCTTTTTATAACACCTTTCATCCAAGTAGCTCAAAGCACACTACAAACAATAATTTAAAAAGCCTCACCACTGCTCTGAACCAGTATCCCCCTTTTAGGGATAGAAAGCTCAGGTACAGATCAGTTATGTGATTCACTCAGGGTCACACACCGAATTAGTCATTTGTGCTAGTCCTGACTCCCATTGCCCTGCTCTAACTACTGCAGATAATGTCTCTCTAGGCACTGTAACCAAGTGTACTCAGCCGTGAATCCAAGATCTCACGTGAGGCTAGAATCCAAGTACAATGATCCATTAAGGGATTTACTTATTTTTCTTTTCTTGTCTTCTAATTTAGAGTAAATAAATGGTGCCCACACACAGGCTCTGAATGGCCCTGTCAATTGTGTCAACTTACAAAACCAAAATGCCTTGTGGGTTGGTAGGAATTGACCACGCTTGCCTGGCCTTCCCCCTTTTCACCTGATTGACCATTCTGAATGCCACAGGGCCTCCCACTGGCCAATGTCCCTGATCCATTGTGGGTATGGCCTTCAAAGATTCCTCTCAGGCATGAGGCCACGCAGACATTTCCTTCCTGCACACATCACCCATTCTTCCCTTGCCTCTCCTGGTTTGTTTGTTTTTTAGTTAATTGCCACAATTTGTTGTTTGCTGCAGGACTGCCTGTTTTGCTGGAGGTTCCACCAGCAATCTTTTCAGGACTAGGAAAGATTTTCCCCTCATCACAAAATTGGCACTAAGTAAATATCGGGTTTTCACTTTCTTCAGAGCACACAGGTGGTCTGGTTTAAGGAAGGAATCTGTTTATACTTGTTCAATTGTCACACGTTGCTGTAGATGAATACAGCAGGATAACTGAGGTAAGGGTGCCGGAATGCCTTCACAGTCACTTGCACGACAAGGAGGCTTCTCAGTGGCTTCTGGCTGCAGTCACTGCTCTGCATTGCACGACAAGGAGCAGGCTTCAGTATCTCACCCAAAAAGTGGAAGCTGTCATCTAGACCCACATCCCTCACCCGAGGAAAAGTCTGGGGATTCTGGGGGCTACCTCAGTCCTAATGTCTGCTTGATTTGACAAAAGTGGGTTAGCCTCCTCCTTAGGATTAGACCCTGTTTCCATGGCAATTTGATAATGTAACATGCTGGGCTTGCCCTTCTGGCAGAATGGGGACTATGCTGTAGCTCTGTTCTGGTTATGTTAGAATGAATATAATTTTTAATCATATACACACATGGTGTCTTCTTTCCTGCACTGGGAAGAGCAATGTATCTATGGTAACTTTAAAGCACATTGGCTTTTCCATTGTACTGTGAGCACCATTCTTTCAAATGCAGTATTTATCAGTGTTTCGGTTCCGTTTTTTAACGTAATTTACTCATTATTGTTTAATATGAAGCACTTTCTGCAGAGATGGTTACCTGCAAACCAACTGAAAAGTAGGACAAATAGAAAAATGTATGCAATAAACAATGAGACTGGATCACACTGCTATGAAGAAATTAGCACATTTTGCCCGGCAACCAGTTAAGCAGGGCCATTAAAAGCTTGATGTGATTACAAGACACTGAAAACACATACAGTACATTTCATCTGGCCATTGAATAAATGGAGTACCACTGCATTTTCCTGGAAAATACCAAACCCCAAAATGATTCTGTTCTGGTGACATCGGAAACCATAGCACTCTTAGTTTTATGATTACCAAGAAAAGTACTGGAATGGATTATATTTACAAATAATCCTGTTTGTTGCAGATTTCATTTGTTTCTCATTGTTAACCAATGTGTATGATTTGAAACTCATTTTTATATAAACAAAAACAAGAGCTGACGTTTTACATAGTTAAAAGCTGTTTGAAACAAGACTTCTGAGAAAAACAATTGTGGGATGACATCCAGGAAAAAGAGCTCTCATTTTTGATTATCGTGTGCCCAGTACAGCATCCAAACACTCAACATGTTTTTTTCCCTAGAGTCATTTCCTGGCTTTTCACACAGAGATGCTATATTAGGGGAAGAAGAGTGATACTGGAATTGATGCCTTTTGCTGAAGGTTTACTTGAAGAAAATACTGCAGACCAATCGAAAGGGTTACGGACTCTCACTTAAATGGTATTATTGGGCAGTTGCTTGATATCATCGCACACTTTAAGACTGCTGAAGCACATGGGTGGCATTTCAGCAAGAGGAGGAGCTGTGTGAGATCATCCATTGTGTGGATTCCAAACTAGAGAGTCAGTTTTGAATAGGGTTGCCAATTTTGGTTGGACATATTCCTAGAGGTTTCATCACATGACATAATCTTTAATTAAAGATGAGTCTTTAATTCCTGGAGACTCCAGGACAACCCTGGAGGGTTGGCAACCCTAGTTTTGAACCATTTAGGACTAGCCTGCACTACAAAGGCTTTGGTGGTAAAGCTATATCAGCAGAGCCCGCTACCAGAGATGCAGTACAAACCAAGAATAAGAGTTCTTTTGCTGGTATAGTTAAAACACCTCCCTGATCATCATCACCTATACTGACAAAAGGGTCTTTTGCTGGTATAAGCTACATCTACACAAGGGGTTTACACCCCTAACCAGCATGCCTATATGAGCAAAACTTTGTAGTGCAGACCTGGCCTCAGTTGTGGTGGCATATCCTCCCAAGCACAGCACTAAGGTGGTTCTCTAGCCCCAAAAGGTTTTCATGCCACTGCTTTATACAGGGACAAAATCCTTTCTCACCTGAACCACAGTCATCCTACTGACTCTACTCTTGTTCAGATAATCATTTCCATACTTCCTATTAATTACACAGGAATGGAAATCACACTGCTTGCTATTCAGAATTTTGAATATTTTGTTTGACTTATTTAATGTGTTCATTATTATTGTAATTGTTTAGCATCATGATGGTCTCAGCTGGAGAAGTTTCAGAGTAGCAGCCATGTTACAGACTAACACGGCTGCTACTCTGAAACCTGCCATTATGCAAGGCACTGCATTTAGCTGTATGGAGTGGAAATCTATCAACTTCATGAAAAAACTCATACAGATACAGACAGACATCATCAGTTGGAGAAGTAGACGATAAACAAAATTATTACAGTTGAGAATATTTTATTCAATTACTTAATATTAAGTAAATAAAATTAC